TGGCTGCCAAACTCACAGCAATAGACAATTGGAGAAGGGAAAGACCCCGAACCTCTGGTCTATTTTATTGGTCTCAATGTCTCAGTGGTTGGGGTTGGGGCCAGGAGAAAAGTCATATTGTTTTCTGGGGTTTGGACAGGAGCCCAGCAAATTCTGGGAGCCTGGCAGAGCTCTGAGCTACCTTTGCTTGGAGGTGCAGGTGGGAGTCTGAACCCTTCTTTGTCCAGCCCCTAGGCTCTGCTTTACCACACCAGCAGACGCTGTGTGCGGGCCAGTATGCTGGCAGCCTGGGGCGCAGGGATGTGGGAGCAGGTGAGAAAGGCAAATGCCAAGAGCCCTGAGGATGGAGACATGAGCTGGGCTACTGGGAATGGAGCCCTGGAGCCAGATGGTTTTGGAGTGAATAACTGGCAGTGCTTTATACTTTCTAGGGCAGGCTGAGTCTGCAGGCACACTCACTTCTCATGGATTTGCAAATAACACCCCAGAGCTGTCTGTTCTGGCAAGTCAGGATTTCCAGAGGCTAAAAGAACCCCCCAAAGCTGGAAATAGTGAGAGTGGTAAGACATCAGCTGAGTGAAGCCAAAAGGCAAATATTAGGTGCATACATATTGCCTCAGTGACCTAACCCTGACCATATGACCGTGGAGGTAGAATCACCAAAGCCCTGCAGCCACCATGGAGCCACTGTGGGGTTCTGAGGATGCTATGTGTAAGCCATTGCTGGTCTCTCAAATGTCTTTCTGGGGATCTCATCTTATAGGTTCTAAATGAGGGGATCCCATGCTTGTGCCATTCAGGAAGGCAAGATTTAATCAAATCCCGGATGGAGTTTTCTGCCCATTGCTTACTCAAATAATCAAATCAGTCTTGCCCATGACCTAGGGCAAGATTTTTGGGGGGGGGGGCAGAGTTGTACTTTTTCACCCCTGGTAGAGTGCTATGGCATCATAGCTCACAGCAACCTCAAACTCCTGGGCTTAAATGATTCTCTTGCCTCAGCCTCCCAAGTAGCTGGGACTACAGGTGCCCACCACAACTTCCGGCTATTTTTTTAGAGACGAGGTCTCACTCTGGCTCAGGTTGATCTTGAACCTGTGAGCTCAGGCAATCCACCCGCCTTGGCCTCCCAAGTGCTGGAATTATAGGCGTAAGCCTCCACACCCGGCCTTAGGGCAAGATTTTTAATGTCGTACTTTGGGTCACAACCCATACACAGGTTGTAAAATCAGAGAAAAAAAAGAAAGAAAAAAGAAAAGGAAGAACAAACAAAGAAGGAAGGACAGAGAAAGAGAAGGAAGGGGAGATAGAGAAAATAATAGAAAACTTTGCAGAATGTCTCTTTCTTTCATGAGATGTGTGTATATATGCATGGGCATACTAGGTCATGATAAAAACTTAATTATTATTATTTTTTTTAGAGACAGAGTCTCTTTATCGCCCTTGGTAGAGTGCCGTGGCATCACACAGCTCACAGCAACCTCCAACTCCTGGGCTTAGGCGATTCTCTTGCCTCAGCCTTCTGAGTAGCTGGGACTACAGGTGCCCACCACAATGCCCAGCTATTTTTTGTTGTTGCAGTTTGGCCGGGGCTGGGTTTGAACCCACCACCCTCGGTATATGGGGCCGGCGCCTTACTCACTGAGCCACAGGTGCCGCCCCAAAACTTAATTCTTATTAAGGGTTTCCGTTACAAATCTGAAAAACACTGCCCTGGGAAGACCCTTTGGTTTGCTTTTATTGCTTATAGCTTCTTCCATTTAGTCATTTCGTCTGCACCATCTGGAACAAAAATGGAGAGAATAGTCCTAGATTCTTTTTGTCCTAACGTGGATTAGGAAAGATAAATGAATTAACCTTTCTGGAATTAGTGTTTGTTTATTGTTTTCTCTCAAACAAGGGAACTAACGAAGGTGGCCTGGTCTCTCCAGTCTCTGACTCCATGACTGTCTCTCAGAATGTTCTTTGAGAGTTTGCTGCATGAGAGGTTTTCCTTCTGTCCTTCCCTGCCCATAACCATAAAATATTTAAGGAAAACAAGGGCCCTAAAAAAGGGGAAAGCAAATGGTTAGATGGGAGTGTTCCAGAGGGAGCTCAAAGGGCGCTTTTTTACCTGCAGAGCAGCTTAAAAACCTCTGTCCACGGGCACAGGGTCTCTGAGAACCTCACAAGGACAAGATGTCCCACTCGAGTGCTGGCACCATGGAAAGAGGTTCAAATAGTATCAGCTATCCCAGAACACTGTGGCCAGGCTGCAGAAAAGGGGAGCCTAACAGCTGAGGAGAGGCTGCAACCCTGGGGCCTGAATGCAGCCACACAAGCCCACGCCAGCCCCACACAGATACCCAGAGCCTGGTGGAAAGGGCAAGAGGCCAGGCTCTGTCTTCTCTGGATTCTGTGGAATGAGGTGAACAGGGATGGCCACATCCTGGCACCACTGGAATCTTTCCTCCCAAGTAGGATGCACCTGGCAGGCTTTTTTGTTACTACACAGATTTGTTGAATCTTTAGCATTCTGGCAGAGTATCTTGTACATAGCAAGTGCTTAGTAGCTATTCCCTGATATAATTAATCACAGATGGGTAGTCACCAAAAACAATGTGACCATCCTAGTGAGGATCACCACCCCTCCTAGGGATAAGTGAGAATACAAGATGTGTTAACTTCAGGGAAAGGAAAGACAAAATTAGTGTTTTCTGCAGAGGTTTTGGTGCATAGTTCATATAGCCGTCAAGATAGAGAAGTTTATAACTGATCTGGTGCAAGAATGCTGCCTGTTATCAAGGTTTCAAGACAACAGGCTCTAGAACAGCAGCCTGCCTTCCTAGCCATGTACCTGGGACAGGAGAAAATTAGTGATTACAACAGAACACAGAGAAATGAATCACATGTGATCTTGCTCTTTTACTCTTACAAAAAGTAACCTTCCTCCTTAGAATAAAACAGAGAAGGGAAAAAAAAACCCCATCTTTGTTCAATGTAAATACAAGATGGTTCATTATCAGAAAAGGAACCATGAAATACACACAATGCATGCTACAAAGGCTAGAGAACTGTCAGATCGTTTTGACCTGGAGATGTTGAGAAAGGCCTGATGGGACAGACAGGACCTGAAAGAAGAGAGGGTCTGGACCAATAGATGAGAGAGACAGAGAGTAGTTCATGTGTTGGGGGAGGATGAGAAAAACCTGGTTAGGGATGTGGTGATGGGGCTGATGACAGCATGTGCTGGGAACCAAGACAACATCTCTGATCTCTCAAGTTTGCCAAACCCAGAACCTCTGAGTTCTCCAAGGCTGGCTTATCTAGATTGTTATCCAACAGATAAAAAGTGTGTAGAAATAACTTTCATTTTTTTTTTTTAAAGGTGGTATGGAACAGTGAGAGGAACAGAGGGAAGACCTGGGTTCAAGTGGCTCTGTCACTCCCCAGGTCTAAGAACTTTGACAATTATGCATATCAGTTGTACAAGGGGGAGAGTATTTTCAAAAGGCTGTGATGAAGATCAAATATGATATTCTGAAGAGTTTTTATACTGTAAAGCATTTTACACATATGAAGTATCAATAGCACTGCTCCAATGAAGAGGCTCTTCCTTTCATCTGTTTCCCAAAATAGAGGGTCAGGTCCCAAGTTCAATCAAACTATGTGCACCTCTTCTGTTTTTTGTTTAAGCCTTCCCAGAAAGTTTCCATGAGATCCCCTTCAAGAACTGTTTCAGTGCAAACAAACTTCACTGTTTGAGGGTTCTTCCTTCTGTTTAGTGTCAGTTCATTTCTCTTGATGCAATTATTGAGAGTTGGGAGGGTCTGGTTGTCACACAGCCTAGCAGAGCTGTCTCAGAAGTGCCTCCTCTGCACCAGGACATCCGCTGGCCTCTGGTACTAGTCCCTCATTGAATAGCTGGATCTTGTGGGCAAATCACTTAACCTCTCTACGCCTCAACTTCCCACCTGTTCAACTTACCCCTCTGAGCCCTGATTTCCTCCCCAGAAAGAGGTGAATAGCAGTACCCTCCCTGCCAAAAGGAGGTCACCAACTGCTGGATGACTTGGTGGGCATCTCTATTCCAGAATGTTAGGTTGGAATTGTGTTCTAATGACTACTTATTTATACATTCTCTGGCTGGTCAGTGAGCTCTAAAATGGTGGGAACATCCATCTTTTTCACCTTTCCGAAGGACTCTAACGCGGTACCTAGGGAGCAGAGAGTAATTTTTAGTCAAAAATTTCTGTGATGAATTTTCCTCAGCCATGCCTAATTCCAGGTCTCGGGACCTCTTTATCTCCTCCCTTCCCTTCACACCAATGCCTCTGTGGGGAAGGGGGAACTGGGGACCAGGGATCAGGGAAGCCGAGACTAAGCTCGCTGTAAGAGATTCGCTACAAGCCAGGAACGTGGTTAGCAGCCGTCGCTGCCCAGGGTCCTCGGGTGGGAGCGATGATGCAACTCCAGGTTCCACTTCGGCCCGGGGTGCTCTTTTATCCTAACCTGTGGGCTCGGCCTGAGCTCCCTGGCCTCTGAAGTAACTCCACGGCGAGCGGCACTCAGGATTCCCCACGAGTGCTGAGAGAGCCGCTGGTGCCAGTCGGGAGGCGCCCCCGAGTGCCCGGACTTCTAAGTCCTGGGCGGGTCAGCTCAGGTGGGGGTGACGCACCTGGCGGAGGCGTCCGCAGGAGGCTGGGTAGAACCACGGCCGCCAGGGCGGCGGGGATGCATCACCAATTATCGCAGGCAGTAGCGTGGCTCTGTACACACATGATTGTCGAAAACTCCGACCCACAGAGGGCAGACACATGCCTTGCCCCCTGGACTGCAGTCGTAGAACGTTTCGCAAGGCAGAGTCTCCAAGGCGACAGTGCAGTCAGTGGTTGATTCCAAGTCAAGATGGTTGCAGCGCCAGCGGAGCTCTCAGCAAGGGTGGACCCGCCGTGTGGGCGGGGCCAGGGGCGGGGCCAGTTCGTGGGGCGGGGCCAGGTGCTGGGTTGTCTCTGCTTGTCAAAACGCGGCAGCCGAGCCCGAGGCGCCGGGAGCGCAGAGCAGCTTGTCCACCCGCGGACCAGACCAGGTGCGGACTGGGGAGCGGCTGGGAAGTGGGTCTCAGGATCGGGAACAGATGCTCGGAGCGTGCGGGGTAGGGGGCTGAGTGCCCGGGGTCAAGCAGTAGAGTCAAAGTCTCAGTGCAAACTTGGTGACTGAGATCCAGGCTGTCGTGCCATGAGGTTGGGACACTGAGGGGGCACTGAGGTCTGTGAAGGCTGAAGTTCGCCCCAGGCTGGCTAGGGGATCGGTCACGTAGTCGGCGCTCCGGCGGGCGACTTAATGCAGAAAGGCTCTGCTAGCACAGTGCTCCACACTTGGGCAACAAGAGGCATTTGTTTCCTTCCTCTGTCCTGGCACCTTGGCATGGAGTGGAGGACTAAGAAAGGAGCGATTGGTTGATGGCGCTAAGATCTTCTAGGGGTGGAAGTGCGTGTAGCCTTATGTATTGTCTTGTAGGGCCCATGTATGGTCACCTGCGGTGGTGGAGTTGGGGCTTTTAAGCAGAGTATTTTTCTTTCTTGACTTTTTTTTTTTAAACTGCCAAAGACCTAATTGGTCCTAGTGTACTGCATTTATTTTTTTCAAAGGAGTCTGTCAATAGATGTCCAGAGGACTTCGGGGACAAGCAAAAGTGAGGAGGGGGCTCAAGGAGTAGTTTCTGTTTGGGAAGTGAGGTGTCCAAGTCTTTGAGTAGTGAGTGAGGATTCAGAGACAGTATCTAGGGAGGAACAGCGTGTGGGCTCCAGGGCCAGCGGACAGCTGCCCCTCCTTCCTGCCACCAGCCCATGGACCAGAGGCTGAGACCCAGTCTCCCCGGGGTACCTTGAGTCTCTGAGCCCAGGCCCTTGCCGCTCCACCTCCTCCTCTTTCTCCTTCTCCTCTTCCTCCTCCTCCGTGTGGTGAGTGAGTCAGCCTCCTGTCTGGGCTCAGTTGCAGCCAGAGGGGCCAGAGCCCAGGCAAGCAGTTGGGCAGGCATTTTCTGAGCGTTGCAGAAGCTCTCCTGGGCAGAGTTCAGCTCTGCTCCAGCTCCCTGCTGGAAGGTAGTCTTCCACACGGGGGTGGAGGGGAGGGAGCAGGGGTTCAGATACCCAACACAACAGTCGGTGGTTATAGAATGGCTATGGGATGATTCCAGAAGGAAGTGACTGTGAAGGGATTGTGGTTTTGTGGTAATTCCACATCTCTTATCCATCTCTTAAAGGGATCAGGAGATGCATCCTGGCACTGTAGACTTTGGTAGCCCCTCATTCCATTTCTGCCTAGTGGTCTTATTTGCTGCCCATCTCTGCTAGTAAAGTGAGTAGGCAGAAGAAACTAAGAAGGTTCTGGGACCAGAGAAGGCATAGTATTGGCAAAGGTTTTAACCCAGGCTAGGGAATGGGGATGATTTGCCAAGGTGAAGATAGGTTATCTGGACACTGGAGAGTCAACTGTATTAACTGATAGTGTTGTGTACTGGGGGACCTTCACCCATACCTTCCTATACAAATGTAGGAGGTTAATTATGAATCTTTCTGGAATAGTTTCAGGACTGGCAGACAGCCTGGCTAAGAGGTAGCAAAACTGCAGATTTCTTGTGGCTTTTGTTTTGGGTGCTAGAGATCCTTATACAGAAGTAGCCCCTTCACCAAAGTCCATGGCCCCATTCAGGCCCCAAAAGGCAGCCTGTCTGGACCTGTTTGAAAAGAGTTTTGGGAAGCCAACCAAGCCATGGGGCTGACTCAAACTGCAAAAAGCTGGGGAATTTACAGTCTGTGCTTTGGCTATGTCCCGTGGCTTTAGGTTTGGTTAGTTCTGATCAGGTATGACTTGGACTCTATCACGCTAAGGGAGGGACTGGAAAATGGGTTAATAAAGGAGATAAGTTAGTAAGGAGAAGAGTTAGTAAGCTTTCTCAACCCCTTACTCTTTTTTCACCAAGGCCATCAAACTTTGTACAAATATTATGGAAGGTTGGGTGTTGTTTAGGGTGCCCTGATAAACTGTGGTTTTCTCTGTCCATCTTCTCCTATTTGATCTCAGAACTGATCTCATTTTGGTACTAAGTCTCAGGTGAAGCTCCAAGAGGACCTCCAGGAGTGCTGCCTTCTACCCTAGAATAGATAGCAGGTGTCCAAATCCTTGGCCTTCAATGGCCTGAGCCTAGTAGGCTGGACCAAGTGGTTGTCTAAGACAGGAGAGGGAGTTCCAGTTGTTCAGTTCTTCACCACATATCCTAAGGGGCAGCACCATGCTGGCTGGGATGGGCCTCTGGCTGGAGACCCAGAGATAGAGTACCTGGCTGACATTCTGTTTGTTACTGAATAGAGAGTTACAGGGGTCCGGCTTCCATTTGTCACCGTTATAAGCCTGTTTTGGATGCAGGTAGGGGGAAGTAAGGAGACACCAGATCTGATTAAAAGATTCTTGTGTGCCCAGCATGGTTCCAGGAGCTCTGAGGAATGACAGGAATCAGAAGCTACCAGACCAGGCCTTAGCTGGAGGATGATCTGAGCCCCAGGATGGGCAGTAGCTCTCAGGTTCGCCCTCCATGACTGTCCAGTTGTGAGAAGATCCACATGGCCGAAGCCAGCCTGGCTGTTGCTTTGGGGCATTAAGACCTCACTTCTAGTTCTGCTTCTCTCTGATTTGCCCTCAACCTTTTTCTGCATCAGTGCCCTCCTAGATATGCTAGAAAAGTGACTGTAATTTATCATCCAAAAGGGATACTTTTGGGGGTGAAAGGAGATGCTTTGCATATGCCAGGACAATGAGCACAAAGCAAAACCGTCCAGGGAAGAATGGGACATTTAATCATCCTAGTGAACCCCATTCCAAAGCCAGCAGAAGTTAAACAAAGTGATGAGGAGTGATGGGGGTGGGAAAACTTAATGCTAAGGGGTAGCTTGATTCTGCTGAGCACAGCCCCAATACCCCAGCCTGCTCCCTGCTGTTATCAGCCAATTTCAGTCTTTGCCCTGAGGGCAGCACTACTCCCAGCCACTCTGTCCCAGGACACAGCTCACCACTGGTGTGACTTTCCTTCACTCTTGACTTGTGATGGCCTCACCTTTGGTTTTCTGGCCCCACCCCTACCTCAGACAGGGACAGGAAGGCCTGCCAGCTCCTCTTCAGCTTTCCGTGGGGGAATCAGTGCTGATAGTGCAGCCAAGACTCAGTCTCATGCTTCCTCTTCCCTCTTCCCCATATCAACAGCCTCTTCATTTTGTTCATCCAGCTTTCCAAACCTCGGGGGCCATACTATCCCACAGGAAAGGCTGGTTCTGAAGCATAAACACCAGGAAGGGAAGGATATCAAACCTTGCCCAGGTAGATAAAGGACACAGGTCACTTGTAATCAGGTTCCAGGGAATGGTAAGCAAAGTGGAGGCCAAAGCCAGAGAGAAGCTGTGGAGCAGGAGATGCAGTCAGTTCCCACGGACACTAGAGTTTGCCTCTCTCATCTAGTCTGACTATTGGGGAAATGGTCCAGGGTGGGGACAGACTGTTCTTGCTCAATCCAAGTGCTAGGCGTTGGTGGCAGCGACTGCATCCTGCTGTGGTGACATATGGAAGAGAAACTGCCCTCCCTTCTGAATCCTTGGCCCTCATGGTCCAGATGCTCAGGGCGAGTTCCCTGGAGAGTCCCCAGAGGTCCAGTGTGTGAGTGATTTGGCATAGGGCACAGAGGGAGTGGAGGCACTCCCATGACTCTTGTTCACTCTGGCAGGGAGGAAGTCGATCTTGTCACCAACACATGAAAGGGCAAGTGGAGACCTCTTGGGAAATCCCACCTTTGAAGTGACTTGTGGAGAGGAGGCAGTCGCAAGACCCCTTGGCTTGCTGGGGGAGGACAGGGTGGCTGGGCAGTAAATGGCAGCAGCAAGAGGCAAAAGCGGTCGGTGCTCTGTGAGTCTGAGTGTGTGTCATGCTTTTACAAACCTGCCCTGCAGGTCCCGCGCCATAGAATAGACTAAGCAGTGTTCCCAAAACCAGATGCCACACAAAGTCTTCATTCTGCACAGGGCAGAGTCCCAGTCCTCAGCAGGGTGTGGGCAGCTGCACCAGCGGGAAAGTGAAGTCTGGGCAGGACTCCGTGGCTGGTTCCTGGGAAGCTGCTGCCTCTCACTGGCCTTCTGATGTCAAGTTAAAGCTTCCAGGTGTTATGCAAGGTGTGACATTCCAGGCACTGCAGACTACCCAGGAGGCTGAAGGCTTTGCTGGTGACACATCCAGTGTGTGCCACCTGCTGGCACTGGAGTTATAGCTTCAGTAGTAGCTGCTTGCTAAACAATCACTTGGTACCAGATGCTGGACTGTGTGTGTTACAGGCACAGCCTCCCAGACCCAGTGATTCCTATCTCCCAGAGATTCCTATCCAGGAGATAGGAATCACTGTCGTGTTCACTTTGCAAATGAGACTGAGTCTTTGTGGGGTTAAGCAATATGCTAAGGTGACACAGCATGCAAAGGAGGGAGTCAGGACTCACACTCAGGTGTGCAGAAGCCCATGCTCTTAGCGTCCATGGAGCTCTAGGTTCTCTGCACTCACAGGACGGCCACGGGGCACTGAGTATACATGTCTTGCACGTTATAGGCCTGCAATAAATGTCTGTGAGCAGCAAGGTGAGATTTACTAGCCAGTTTGAACAAGTTGACTGGAGAACAAGCTCAGTTTGCCCAAAGGTTACTCTGGGGACAGTGACTTCTCAGAAGGAGGCTCCCTCTGCCAGTACCTTTAGACCTCAGTGCCTTTCTAGCAGTCTGGTACCAGGGTACCAGGTTAAGAATAAAAAAGAACTTGAGAGAGAGAAACACTCTTTCAATTTTAAATAAGCCACATTTGATAACCTACTAGGTGCTAGGTGATTGTCTCACTAGCCCACAGGGAGCTGTTCTCACCTTGCCTACCTCAATCCCCTCCTGGCTACCCCTTAAGGACTCCTGAACCTAGGCCAGCTGGAAGAAGGAAGGAGGAAACCTAGCCCAGCTGGGGGGCTACCTCTAGCCTCCTCTGGCAGCCTCCTGCCAGGCCCCTGTGCTGTT